ACCGCGAACCGCTGAAGACAAAATCCTAAAATGAAGGAGAACCCTCGGTCGTTTGCAAGCCTGCTGGCTCTGACTACCCAGACGCCAGGGACCTGGTGCTTGCTCTCACATGTTGAGGGTCTAAGGTTTCGGGTCCAGGGCTTAGGGTTTGGGTTTGGGGTGTAGGTTCTAGTTGGGGAGAGATGAGGGGCGATCTGTATGGGAGTACTAGAGGAATGTCCTGCCTTGGGGTAGGGCACTTTACAAGAAGACGAGGGTTTTGCTTGATTCAGCCTTTAGTGGATATTTCTCAAGATAAACTGTGTAATTTGTTCTAGGATAGCTTCCTATACTCCTCTTGTTACTCACGCTAGGACGATTAAACTCTGAACTTTAAAGGCAGGTGTCCCCAACGTGTCGATGCAGAAGGTTACATTTTTTGATTTGGATCAGCTAGAGTGGGAGGGCGTTTTGTACATACTTTTTAATCTTCCGAGTGGACTTTTTACAAGCTGGTAGTTTTCACAGGAGCAGTTGTCGATATTTGCCTTATTAAGAGGCCCTGAACAGTGGACATCGCTCAGTAAAGTCCCTGATTCAATGGACCTCCAAGTAGGGTTCAGGGTTTAGGTTTAGGGCTTATGGTCTAGAACAGCTTTCAAATTGATATGGTAGTTTCCATGAATAGGGGACTTCAATATTCTCCCCAAAAGGGTGTCAATCCTTCTTGTTTATGGGGGCCCCCAGAAGATGTCTCTCAATTTTTTGGAGGCTTCGCAATAGTTTCGGTTTGTGGTAGATTTGGCTTTGAAGTTGCAGGTCTTGATCCACAACCTGCGCAGGGGGTACGCTTTTGGGGTGTCGGTGTTGGGGCTTTTTGCGGGTTCAGAGGTTCAGTGCTTTTGGGATGTACGGTAGACTCAGAGGCTCTAATCACCCTATGATGGGCCACTTGGCATTTTAGCATAGGTTTCTTGCGGGCTGCGGAATATACTGGGACACACACGAAAGGATTATATCTGCATCATAGGCTTTAACCAGACCCAAACCTTAAACCCCTTTTCATGAACTTAGGCTCCCGGATTTAAGCTTCAAATTTCATGGGTGTAGTGGTTGGCCTTGAGGGATTTAGATGGTTTTCGGATTGATTCGGGTCATGGTCTTCCGAGTCCACCGCAGTTGGCAGCGCGTCCCCGCACTCCTGATCGGCTGTATAGGGGCCCCTTCAGCGGGTCTCTATATGTTTATGTGGGGATTACATAGCGTCACATGGTGATTTATGAGCTGTAGTCTAAGCCTCCGTGTCCCCGATATAATCCCCCATACCCCTTCGCCCGTTTAAGGAGTTTAGACTCTAGACTCAAACTTTTAAACGGTTTTTGGACACTTAAAGGAGGGCGTAAGCATCCAAGGCCAAGGAACGTTTCATGCCTCGCGTTGCCTAAGATTCCAGGTATTCTATACTTGTATATATTTGCTCACACCCGCACTACAATAAGTAGCACGCAGATTCCAATCCCAAACATGCAATTCTTGGGTGCCTGGGCTCATAGCGGCTGTGACACAACGAAAGGCCTCCTCGTAGCACAGATCAAAGCAGCAATAGCCAAACCCTAAGCCCTAAAGGTGTATGCACCGGCAGACATAAGTGGTCAGCATCACTTCCAAACCGGCTTATTTGCGGGCCTTTGTGTTCTACCCGAACACCCAGACATGTTCCGAAACCCAGAAATATTGCCGAGCTTCAAGCCTATACTGTGAGCTGTATAAAATGAGCTCCCCTAGGTCCCCTAACATGGTGATACTTGGCTTGGATGTTAGAAGTACTAGGTATATTACAGTTATATACTTACCCTGAAGTCGGGTTACCAACCTGGGGTCTCTCATGTACCTCAGATTACTTTAAGGGTCCAAGGACCCACATAACAGGGTTTAGGGCCCAAATACCATTAATCTTCTAGTATTTGGGCTCAACCTAGGGCCTGAAGAGCCATTATCTGAGTCCTTGGACCCTCAGAGTTAGTTCTGAAAGCGCTGAACCCTAGTCAAACTCTCACGTAGATGCCCTATGCCCCTTTAGCCAAAACCCCAACGCCTAAGCCTTGCCTTACACTCTCGTCTGGCAGAAGCCCAATTCCTTGCAGCCGAGCTCCAGGTTCGCGTTGCAACCGCAGGGCAGCGCACTTTCTTCATCATCGAAGGCTGGTGTTTGCTGGAAGCATGCTGTTGCTGGTCCAAAATCATACTACATAGATTTCTCCATGAGCTGTATGATTGCAAGGTTTGAGAATTTAGCACTCTAAGTTGAGGGCTTTGAACGTGCAAAGGCCAGAGGCTGCAACAACGGTACATTTTGAAGGGTTTCGGGTTTGTTATATAAACCTAGGGATCCAGGCATACAAACAATCGTACATTGCGCCCCCAACAAGTCTGTAAATGTTATCTACATTGGGCTGAAAAAACCCTGAGCCTAAAACCAGTACCTACATTGGGCTATTTGGATCCGAAGGGTTAAGGGCGCAAAGTTCATAGAGCCTGTGGGTTTGCGTTTGAGGGTCTGAGACGAGACCAGCCGTTAACCCTTTTAGTTTAGGGTTTAGGAGTTAAGGCGAAGCTGGAGTTAGGGTTTTTGTAGAGTTTGAAGTGTAGATCCCTAGATGTCTCAGCTAGTTAACGTCGAACCACATATGGGGCACATTTAAGCAGTCTTCGTAGGGATTCCATGTTAGTTTTGGGGAGGCTACGGGTCAGGATTTGGGGCTTGACAACTTGAGGGTTGGGGCTCAAGGTGTAGGACTTGTGGGGCTTATGGCATCAGGCTCCAAAGACCCAATGGGGTATTGGTCTAAATTCCCATAGTACGGGGTCCTATATTTGGGTTCCCATTATAATACGGGGCCCTATATAAATTTCCCCCATTTTGGGAACAGTAATTTAGGGAAACTACCATTAATGGCTCAGGAGTTCATGTCGCAACGGCAACTGTAGATTCGTCTTGCGGCGCGTACCTTCCCGTTGGGTCCTTGGACTGCGATGGCTTCAAGGCCTCCATGAAGCCCTTGTCCCTTGTTTATTTGCCAACTCGACACTCTGAACGGGCTTCAGGGTCTCAGGTTTAATGTGCCTAAACCGAAATCTTAAACCCCCAGGCAGCGGGCTCCTACAGCGGGGCCCTATGTTCACGGCCGAGGATGAGATTGGGATCATAAAGGGCAGCCCTTAGAGAGAGAGTGAGAGAGATTCCAAGACCCCTTATGGATTTAGGGTGTAGGTCTAGGGTCCAAGACCCCTTATGGAGACAAGCACTTGCAGTATGCACGCAGCGATAAGACCTGTATGATTTTGTGTAGGACGTGCCAGAGAACGGGTACAGCCTGACTTCACTAGAAGTATAGCCCCCTGTAGATTAGTATGACCCCTCCCATCCTGACGATTCATGCTCCTACTTTGCGCACCGTCATCCATAATCACTGGTTGTCCCTGGGGTGCGGTCATGGCTGCCTCGTAGGTACCGACCGTCAATAGACTTGAAAGGATGGAGTAGGTATTATGTGTAAACTCTACTCAGGTTGTAAGATGTTACGGTTGCAACAAGCAACGCGGGAACCTGTTCAAGCTCAGTCGACCTTATATGGATTCCTCAGGACGTTTGTAGTCTTCAGGGTCCTTGTATCCAATATTTACGTACCTGGATTTGTTTGAATTTTGGGCAAGTATGCCATTATTGGGCACTTCGACCCTGATGGGGAGTGATCAGGCTAATTTCTGGAATCTACATCCCCATGATTCTTTTGTAACCCCAAAGGTTTGAGTTTTAGGTTTCCTGGCAGGCTGCGTACCCAAACCCATACCCCAAATCGTATAAACCCCAAGCCCGCATCCCACGAAATGCCAAAGCCAAACCCCCTCAGGTCTCATCTCGACCCCCAAGCCCAAAACCTTAACCGGCGTTTGCAAAATCATGTCTCAAACCCTAAAACCGAATGCTTCAGATCTCATCCCGCCCTTTTGGACCAACAAACAGTCGCAAGGCCTTCGGAACTTTCACAGCTCGCCTCGATTCGGCAGGCAACCAGCCTACCTTTTTGGGGCTTTTGAAGAGAGATGCATAGGTATAATGACATGTACACCCTTGCGGATGAGCTAGCGCTTTATGGGGTCGGGCTTCTCACAATTCAGAGTCCCGGTTTTACAATATGTGTACGTACATGAGTAAGGTTTGCGACACTTCCGAGAAAATGGGATTACTTGCATTGTCAAGGGCTTAAGACAGCACTACCCTTCAAATCACTTGGCATGAGGAGCGTCGGATGCAGGCAAGTCAGTTTGACCGGTTCATTGTTTCGGGTTGAAGTAGGGATCTGTCAGATGACTTCAGGTAAATCTTGCTCATTGTGTAGAAGACGCCAATGACCATATTGAAGCCTCAATTCCCCGGGGGTTGGAGACTTTTTCAAAACAGGCAAACGGGGTTTCACGTCCAGGGACGTCAAGGAGGGCTTGCGATGGATTATGTTGCCCCCTGCACTTTGCATATTAAGGAGGGAGGAGCGGACACACCGGGTCATGAAGAAGCACCGTAGCATCTAGTTTGAGTTCTAGAGTTCCTCAAATGTCCAAGACCGGAAGAATCAGGTAGTGTGGGAGCATGAGCAGGTCCCAGATGTTACTAACAGCACGCTTGGCAGGTTGAACCTGTCCATGTAGATGATAAAGTGATTTGCAGCAGCATGTGCGTACTTGTACTCGGCTAGAACAGCAGGTCGAACCGGCTCAAGCATAGGCGTTGTTCAAAGCAATTCTCATCGACACCGCGCTCACAAGAGCACAGAGATATGGCTTCCGCATCGGAGGCTGAGGTGGTCATGGGTTACATCGAAATGTGCAACCTCGAGGCCTTACGCAGATTCACCCCCGGTTTTACGGCCCAGCCAAAATACTCCCGCTGGCATCAGCACTGGTGTCAAATGGAACTGATGATGATGCCAAGCTGGCAGTAATTGAGTGGCTGCTCAAGCGAGGTGCAGACCCGCAGCGCTGCCATCCTTCTGACAATGGGTGCGTGGCGGAGGTCCGCAAGAAACATGATAGGGAGAACACACTTCTGCAAATTCCCTACGCGGGACACTCTGCTATCTCATTTGCGTTTGCGCAGTTGCAGGCCATGCGCAAAGCAATCGGGGTAGATTGGTCCGTGAGAATCAGATATTTCGAGAAAGCTTTGGAGTTACTGGGGACGATCAAAGCGGTGAACGAAGAAAACGTGGCAGTGCCTCGTAGTCTCGTTGACATGTGGGAGTCTTTGCGCGAGATGACCTCCACCCACAACGTAGTCTTTGAAACTGCTGATGATGATGTGTCAGCTCATGAGCTTATCCTTCTTGCAGCTTCTCCAGTTCAAAAGGCGATGCTGGAGTCGGCCATGATGGAGGGATCCAGCAAGCGCATTGCTGTGAAGGACCGGGGAAGAAGATCGTTGCAGACTTTTGGAACCTCTATCAATCCCTGAACTTCAAAAACAGACATTGTACTGCCTATAGACCCTCCATCTATCCTCTATGTACCCTTAAACACGGACCATATACCCATATCTAAAAGTCATAAGGAGGGCCCTGGTATTTATGGACTCGAGGGCCTGTTTTGGGTGTCATTCACATGCTTGGATCCCCAGGGTATGGCGTGTGGGATCCTCGTAAGGTATGGGTAAGAAGTATTTAAAGCGTGCTTGGCCGGTCATGCTTGCTGAACCGCTTTGCTTGGAGATCTTGCGCCAGGATTCAGCAAGCTCTGGTGTGCGGCTGTTCTTGGACATGGTGTACTCCAGTTCCTCCCGCGATGAGCCGGACTACAAGAGCGCGCTTGTGGCCCTGGACTTGGCGCACCGCTGGCAGCTTGGCTACGCTGGGGAGAGATTTCTTTTTTTCTTTTTTTTGTGTAGTGGCTGTGATCCCTACAGAATATGGCAGGAGATCCGCTTAATTACTCAATCTGTGTGTTGGTCTGCGTGTTGTTGTGCTAGCTCAGGCAAGGCTAGGTCAAGCTGTTTCGTTTGTTGTGTTTGTGTTGTTTGGGTTTAGGGCTTAGGGTTCAGGGTTTAGGGCGCGTTTGTTAAAGTTGCTTTGCTCTTACCAACCGCGATGCTTGGTGGAGGAATGACACCCTGTTGCAGTCTTTTCGTAGCTTTCTTTCATCAATCCACATGTGTAGACCTAGCCGTGAGTGTATATGTATTTGCACACATCGTCCGTAGCCCCTTGTCATGGATGATGTTGCAGATGTGCTTGCTAGAGATGCAACCATACACGTCACAGGTTTGTGGTCTTTCAACTGGGGCTTTTGCAGGGGGATATGTATTGACATCGGGATCCTTATTTGGGAGCACGGGCCTGCAACAGCTTATGTGGGATACAGATGCAGAGACCACCAAACACCCCCAAACCAGAGCCTGACAAAGTCAACCTCAAGAATGAGGGTTAAAAGGTTTGGCGTTGCGGTTTCAGGGCTAGGATTCACGGTTTCGTCTTGAATCGTTAGGTTCATCTGTACAGTTTCGTAGGGATTAGCTTTCAAAGCTCATACTGGAATACAGGCTCCTACTTTAGGACACGAATGACGCATATTGAGCAAAGTTCTCGCAATGCCCCTTCGGAGATTTCAAGAACCCCGAAACTAAGTTTGAAAGGTGGCGTCCGCATAAGAGGCAATTCTTCCAGAATGGGCTTGGAACAGAAGTCTTGTGAAGAAGTAGTTCATTGTTCCGTACCTTCCCAAACCCCCAGCTTTATGCCAAAACACTCAGCCACAAACCAGACAGCCTAAACCTGATCTCCTCCTACCCTAAGGGCCCAGGTGTTCAAAATTACATGTTACCGCATGTTCTACAATAGTACATACTACCCAAACCCCAAGTACACAAGTATCGGGTATTTGGAGCCTAGATCCGAAACCATTGATATATGACCACAATGCCTACATAACCCTGTACGTCCCATATAACCCTTTTTGGGCTATTTGGAAACTGAGCTAAACTGAGGCAAGTGCTTGGCATGGTCCCAGTACTTGCAGGCATCCTGCGGGAGATGATAACAGTGGACAGCTCTGTGGCCTTTACTTACGTTGGGGCTCTAAATCTCTATGAAATAATACATACTTTGGACCTTAAACTCTTTAATGAAGAGTACATACATCTGGCCACAAAATCTGCAATAACACTTACATCGGGCCCTGAAAGCCCTAAAGTCTACAGTATAGACAGTGCTCCAATTGTGCTAGTTGTCTCCATGTATTTACATAGGATGTAATTTGGGCCCAGATGGGTTCCTATGTTGGTGAGTTTGGTGATTTGGAGCCTCATCAGGCTACCTATACAACCCCAATATAGCCCCAATATTACCCCAATACTACCCCAATATTAAGCTTATGAACAAGGTTTCATGGCCATTGCAGAAGCAGCCGTGCTCAAGGAGTTGGAGCCACTGCAGCAAGCTTGCGCAGCCTTTGGGGCCAAGAACGTGAAGATCCTGGTCAGCTTCGGGTTTATAGGGTGTGTAGGGTTTAGGTTTCTCAGTGTAAGGATTAGGGATTAGGGGAGACGTAGTAAGTCGTAGTAAGTGTGCGTATAATCTGTATAAGGGCATGCTGACCCCACACCCACACATCGTCATTATCAATCTACTTACCTACCCAAAGCGTCCATGTAGCTATATCGTATAGACTTGGGAATCGAAGGAGCTATATTTATATGAGAGCCACTCTGGGCCCTAAGTATACACTACATTTGGGGTACGTAACATTGCATTGCGACCACTTGGAGACATTAACAATTTGCTAGAAACTTCTTGTCGTGGTTTCGGCACTACACGTGGTTTAGGGTTTTGGGTTTCCGGCTTGGGGTTTAGTGTTTAGGATTTGGGGTTTACTAAACCTCTAATCTTATAATAGGGGCTTAAATATATGCCAATTCCACATTGTACACCCTCAGCCCACACGGTACCTGGCAGTTCAGGATCAAGGGTTTCAGGGTTTAGGGTAGGAGGGCGGTCCATTACCAAGACTAGCGTGACTAGCGTCACCTTGAGGCATGCTTTGTGGGGCTTCATGTTTTGTTGGGAGGAGGTGTGCCTGGAAAGTTCTCCTCGTGATCCCCAAGGCTGTGAAGGAAAAGCAATCCTACAGCAGCGGGTACGGAGGTCACCTTTAAACACCAAATAATCCCTTAACGGCCTCTTCTGCCTCCCCTGTCGTCGTCTAGGGCTTAGATGGATAATCTCTGAAAGCGCGGGCTGCCTTGGCCCAGGATTAAAGCCATGCTGAAGAAGGGCCCCGTTCCTGCGCCAGTTCGCAAGCTGCTAGGGACCTCCGATGCCACCGAAGCGGACGCTCGGTTCAGGGTTACAACCGTTTGATTAAGGAATATTCCTTCAACCATTCTAGGGCTCCTGGTAGGATTTAGGGCCCTAAACCCTAAACCCTAAACCCAAATTATTCTATGTTCAAGAGGTATTGGGCTCCCTGGCCCAGGAGCTCTGGCTTCCACATAATTACGTACCGAGTTTATGTTCGGTTCGATGGTGTTTTAGTTGTAAACCTGGGGGTGCTTCGTTCAAGTACTTTCCGGTGCAACAAGCAGCAACCTTGCGCCATAGTAGTGAAGGTTCCCAGTGCTTGACTGTGATTCTGTTTGCTGCTTCTTGTAGAAATCTCAGCAAGTATTAGCCTACAACAGTCCTTACTCTACCTATGCTATCTGCGTAACAGCATAACCATGTTGATTGTGATCCTAAACGCTAAACCCGTAAACACCCAAAACACGAATCACACTTCTGTGAATTTCCTGCATAACTTCGGAACCTCTATGGACAAAACAGGGCAATTGCATGTGAGACCTTGGGATTTTTTGACCCTATGCTTTAGCCGTCCATTGAACTGCCATTCCCAGAGTTGCCATGTCTAAGTTTGTATCAGAATCCCTTGTCATCCTTCTGCTGCAGCTGGTTTGGGGCTTAGCAGCCTGCTTCCAAACGCCTAGAATAAGTTTGACGGCACAATACGTTTGCGCAAGCACGGCAGCTACCCAGCCTCAGCCGAAACCCCACCTGACCTACCTGGACTCGGGCTCGATGGACGGGTTTAGGATTTAGGGTACCTTTTTCAAGGGTGTGCCTCCGTCTTCATGGTATGCATGACTGAATTGTAGTTATTGTACTTTCCAGATTAAGATACCCTTCAAGCGGGTGGATCCATGGCGTGGTGCTAGGGGTCCTTGTGAATTTTGGGGATATGAGGGAGTGTTGGGGAGCATTCGTACTTTTCATAATCATCCACCCTGTTTTTGGACAACCCTTGTTACTCAGGAAGAGGGGCAGAAGAAGAAAAAGCGGCGGACCTTCCAAGCGCCTTAACCGGCTGGATAGTGGGAGCCTAAGTGCGCTGAAAAAAGGTTTTGGGTTGAGGCTTAGGCTTTAGAGCTTAGGCTTTAGAGTTTAGGGGTTGGGGCACACGGGCAAACGGACAATTCCAGGTTGGTAGTCCCTGAGGGTCCAAGGACCCAAATAACAGGATTTTAGGGCCCAAATACCATTAACAATATAGCATTTGGGCCCTAAAACCCTATTGTTTGGGTCCTTGGACCCTTACTGAGTTAGCAGGTGGGTACCCTTCTAGGGGCCCATGAAGACCTGACATGCCCCCGTCGCCGTTATGATTCCCCTACTGCCTTCTTTGCATGAGCCGCATATGTAAATAGAGAAAGTATACGAATTTCATTAGTAGATATACACATTCATGTGTATATATATATATACATTATATATGAAGAGCCCACCCAGAAATACCTGCCTGAACCTTTCAGCTGCGAACGGAGTCTAGTATTCGCTCATCTAACTTCAATTTTTCAGGGATGCGGGCTGCAATCTTTGGGAAGCAGTTGGCCCTGAAGAGTGCATTTTGTCAGTGTGGGTCTATGTGAGCATGTTGGATTCTTTTCCAGTGTGGGAATCTCAGGAAATTACAGGTGCCATGTTGTTCTTCCTCGCGACATGCTCTGAGGGTGCTGTGCTGCAGCTCCATAAACGTTTGATGGTTTGTGTTGGAGTCTCCAGATGTTCGGCAAGTAGGATGCGGCGGAATAGGTCTTGAGCTTGCCTTCGTCGTGGCCAGCTTTTCTGTAACGAAGCATCGGGGTTACATAATCCACGTCACGTAGCATACTATTGACAATGATGCTGCGTTCTGACTTAGCCTTCTCACACGTGCTCGTGTACATGTTACGTCTCGTAATCAATAAGAGAGGGGGCAGGTCCACCATATGTGTACAGCAACTCCAAATGCCCATTGTTTCGTTTTGGAGGCCCGAAAAAGGCTGAAAGGAATGAAGGGAATGCCCTGTACCTGGTTGCCATGTCTCTATTTCAACTGTTTTTTACCTTTGCGAACAAAGTGGTCTCTGGCAAAAAAGGCATAGCGCTCAGAGAGGTGAACATATCCCACAGCAGCTCACGCCAATCTTAAACCTACCACATGTTAGGTCTTAGGGTCTTTTGGAGCGACGTGTACCCCCAGGATCCTCGCATGTAGACAGATACTCTCACATGCTTGATTGAAGCAATGTTTCGCGATACCTGCATATGTTTGACTTGAAGGTTCTGATTTAGCAACTTGTTGACGCTCGTTGGTCGGGAAGATGTGTCAGGATCCTATCCCGTTTATGATATTTGGCGGTGGCAGTGTGGTAGAGTGCCGTAAATTACAGCGTACGTACTCCCAGTGCCCATATCATGGTTCCATTCTATGTTCAACTTGATTCTGCATGATCCGGGTAGTATCGCAATATCCCTAATCCCTATGACCCATATAAGGTTGCACGTAACCCTCCCTCCCTCCCTCCCTCCC